CTGGAGATCCAGAAGGGTCAAACCAGAAGGCCTCCAAGGTCCCTTCTATTTCTGTTCTGATTAAGATTATTGATGCTACTCCACATATTGAATTTTTGAAATCAGTGACTTGAGATCCAATCCATTTTTATTGTGACCAATTGTTCTGCCCCAGCTATGGACCACAAAGAATGCAGCACACACAAAGTCCATACAAACCTTAGTTTACTAATTAAGGACTACTAATGAGCTTTCTTAGTAGTTGTTCAAACACAAGTACAGTTTAAATCAGTCTTTTCTGAACAAGGGCTGTTAATTTAACCTCATTAACAGCCAACAAGAGTCCAAGGAAGAATAACTCAATTCTGAGGCACAGTCTTTCAGATAACCGTAAGCTTACTATGGTTGGCAGAATGCCTAGAAGTAATTTGCAGGAAAAATGACAATTTTCAATTTCAATTTAATTCAATTTATATGCCGCCCCTTATAAGCAAGAGCCAATCAGACGTTTCTGGAGTCAATCCGTGAAGGAATATGAACGAAGTTGTTTTCTGCAAATTGCCTCAGTCGTCGTCATTCCTTAAATAGGCTAGGAGAGTGCCCAATTAGCCCCAAGCCTTACTCTTGAGGAGACCTCCTCCTGAGGAGCCATGGCAGCTCTGTGAGCTCGTGCATTGAGAAGAAGCTCCTCCTCTTCTTCCTCTTCACTTATGGGAGCTTCTTGAGGTTCTGAAGGCCCTGGCTGAATCCTCGCCTCTGGCACCACATCTTCTCCAGGCTCCTCATTGTCTGACTCGGGTGCCAGCTGCACAGGCTGCTGGCGAATCACCAAACCAGCCTCCTCACTGTCGGAATCAGCTACCAGCTGCACAGGCCGCTGGCGGGCCACAACACCAAGTACTCTTTTACTTGTTTTGCCTCAAGTGTAACCATCACTATTGGTGTCTCTACGGCTTTCCTTTCCAACATCCACTTGGTCCCTAATGTGTGGTCTTTATATTTCCTTATTTTGTTTCCTTCTTCTTTCTCACTTTCCCTTCTGCCTCTAGATACTTCAACTTCAATTCTCCATAAATTGTTCCTTTGGAACTATATTCATCCTGGCTTATGTCAGCTGAAAAATAAATATGTTTCTTTTCGAAAGCTCAGTAGGATTGTCATCCTTTCACTCTCCACTGCTTATTAACGGTGATGGGGATGACTGTAAAATCATCATCATCATCATCATCATCATCATCATCATCATCATCATCCTGTGGCTGGGCCTGGACAGCTATCGGGTGTGGTCCCTATGGTTATGGGATTACCATCTTTGGATCGGTAGTGGCTTAGCCAACATGAACCAACCTACCATCACCAATGAAGAGAAGAAATCAACAAAATTCCATACCGGATCGGTCATTGCCCGGGTCAACAAGGATGCTATGGCTTCTGGACATCTGTTGAAAAATGGGCTACAGGGCTCAGTTGTTACTGCTGGGGAACCAGGGCATGCAACAGTAAAGCGACTGGGGCAAAAGCGCAAAACTTGGACAACCGAAGAAAATCAAGAAATCATCAAATTCAAGCAATTGCAGCTTCCTTCCATAACACCAGTGGAACTACAAAAAACTGCGCTATTCGGAACATCATATATTTTAAGAAGGTACTTGGTTGATACCTAGGATGCTGGCAGCAACCCATATCAACCATTAGACAAGTCAATAGTATTTGTGATACGTTTTTAAATGTTCCATTGACTGACTTTCATTTTTGATGAATAAAAGAGAATAATAATAATAATAATAATAATAATAATAATAATAATAATAATAATAATAATAATTGAATTGAAGAATTGAATTGCACGAATTGAAGATAAGCAGCAAGAAAAAATCACAAAGTACCGGGACTTACAAATTGAAGTTGAGCAACTGTGGAAAAAGAAATCGTGTGTTATCCCGATTGTAATTGGAGCCCTCGGAGCAATACCCAAAGGGCTACCCCGCTATTTAGAAATTCTAAATTTGCCGGACTTGAACATTTTGACTCTACAAAAAACCACCTTACTCGGAACAGCTTACATCCTCCGACGATACCTTAACAGTTCCTAGGTCCTTGGTTAGGACTCGAGCTGCTGAGCTATTAACCAGACTCAAAGGCTGTGAATCTCACTAAAGATTAACCAATAAATAATAATAGTAGTAGTAGTAGTAGTAGTAGTAGTAGTAGTAGTAGTAGTAGACATGATCGAGTTGCTAAATTGGTCAACTGGTCATTATGTAAAAAATAAGACATACATCTGTCTGAAAAGTCATGGAAGCACAAAGTGGAAAAAATTATCGAAAATGAGACCGTGAAGATCTTGTGGGACTTTTGAATATAGAGAGATCATCATTTGGAACACAACATGCCAGATATCATGGTTGTCGAGGACTGAAGTATACAGTTTATTGATATTGTTGTACCAGGAGACGCCAGAGTCGAAGAAAAAGAACAGAAAAAAATCATGAAATATCGCAACCTGGCCATCAAAACTACATGATTATGGATGAAATATGTAACAGTGATACCCATTGTCTTTTTTTTTTAAAATCTTTATTTACATTTCATTTAAAAAGAAAAAACAAACAACATAAAATGACAGACAAAACAGTACAACAGTAAATATACATACTTCCATATAGTACCTTAGTGAACATGTATTCGGTACTATAACTCTAAATTATATTTATTTATTTATTTATTTATTTATTTATTTATTTATTTATTTATTGCGATTTATATGCCGCCTTTCTCCCTAGGGACTCAAGGCGGCTTACAAAATGACAACATCAATACAAATCACAATACAATACCAAATTAAAATCAGTAACCCAATTAAAAAACGATTTAAAATTATACCAGTGTACCCCCAAACGGATCAGTTTAATTGGCGGAAGAGCCACGTCTTCAGCTCGCGACGGAAGGAAAGAAGGTCGGGGGCTGTCCTGAGCTCAGTGGGCAATCCATTCCAGAGGGTCGGGGCTCCCACAGAGAACGCCCTCCCCCTGGGGGTCGTCAGCCGACATTGTTTGGCCGACGGCACCCTGAGGAGGCCGACTCTGTGAGAGCGCACAGGATGATGGGAGAACGGCTGGAGATGGTCCTGCAAGTACCCCGGGCCTAAGCAATGAATATTCCGGAGAAGGCAGAACATCTTATATTTCTTAGTGCATCACTTAGGTCTGTCCGACCACACTTATCTTATACAATATAAATTTCTCTTTAAATACCAATCCTCAACTAATGTGGGTTATAGATTCCTCTTTTCTAACCATTTATAGAATTTGTCCCAAGCTAAACCTACTTGTGTTTGCTCTCTATCCTGTAACTTTTTAGTTAACGTATCTGCGTCCGCACATTCCAAATTTTTTTTTTATAATATCCTCCTCTGTTGGGATATTTTGGTTCTTCCAAAATTGCGCGTATGTCAGTCTTGCCGCTGTAATGATATGTAATGCCAAATACCATAGGTCCTTTTTTATATTTTCCGGCTTGGAGCCGAGCAGGCATGTCTCTGGTCGCCAGTTGATTTTTAACACTAATATCTCATTGAGCCATTTTTTAATTTTCCCCCAAAATATCACTGCCTTCGGACATGACCACCATTGGTGATAATAAGTGCCACGTTCCCCTCCACATTTCCAACACTCCGCCGACTGCCCTGAGAACATTTTAGCTAGTCTATTGGGATACCCATTGTCATCGGGGCACTTGGTACCAAGTGCCCCGATGTCCAAGAATTGGACAAGTGTCCAAGAATTTTATAAGATACATCATCTTATATGTACATATAAGATATTCCTGAAATAACACCAGCGGAACTGCAAAAAACTGCACTACTTGGAACATCGTACATCTTAAGAAGGTACTTGGTTGATACCTAGGGCGCTGGCAGCAACCCGTATCAACCATTAGCACCAGTCAATGGTGTTTCTGATGCATTTTTGAATGTTAGTTTACTGAGTTTCATGTTTAATGAATAAAGTAGATAATAATAATAATATCACGGTTGTCGAAAACTGAAACATACAATTTATTGACATTGCGGTACCAGGAGATGCCAGAGTCGAAGAAAAAGAATTGAAAAAATTATGAAATATCGCGACCTGGCCATCAAAACTACACGGCTATAGATGAAACATGTAACAGTGATACCCATCGTCATCAGGGCACTTGGTACCATATCCAAGAATTTTACAAAACACATCAAGACACCAGTGGAACTGCAAAAAACTGTGCTACTCGGAACATTGTATATTTTAAGAAGATTTTTAAATTGAAAATTTTAAATTTGTTTTAAATTATTGGGGTTTTAAATTTGTTGAGCCAAATTATTTAATTTGTTTTAGTTTATTTTAAATTTTGTATTTATATGTTTTATTTTATGGCTGTTCACCGCCCTGAGTCCTTCGGGAGTAGGACGGTATACAAATTCAATAAAATAAATAAAATAAAATAAAATAAAAAAGATACTTGGTTGATACCTAGGACCAGTGGTGAAAAGTAAAATTTGTTACTACCGGTTCTGTGAGCGTGGCTTGGTGGGGGGGGGGTCAATGCTTTTAAAAGCCTCTGACAATCAGGCAACTCAGCTGGGATTGATTTTTAATTTCATAAATCAAATTAAAAATAAAAATTGTCAGAGGCTTTTAAAAGCATTTTTTCTACAACCTCTTTGGTGGAAGAGGTTGTAGAAAAAATGCTTTTAAAAGTAAAAAAATAGTTTCTGATGATCACGTGGCTCAGCTGGGCATGGGGGGTGGGCCACAGGGATTTTTGCTACCGGTTCTTCGAACTATCCGCCGCCATCGGCACCGGATCGGGCGATCCGGTCTGAACCGGGAGCATTTCACCCCTGCCTAGGACTCTGACAGCAACCCATATCAACCATTAGCATCAGTCAATGTTATTTGTGACACATTTTTAAATGTTCAGTTGGCCGAGTTTCATGTTTAATGAATAATAATGATAACAACAACAACAATAAAAATAATTACTTAGATGAATGAGAGGTTAGTGGGAAAGAATTCTCTGTACAGAGTTGAGTTTGGTGTCACATGTTTTGTGTGAGTCTGTATACAGAGATGATTCATTGTGGGATTCAGAGCACAGAAATAAACAGCTCCATCCAGTAGAGAGACACTTCTGATGTTCAGAGGAACTGAATTCTGATTCCCCAAAACTAAGGTGGTAGAAAACTTTCCCTCCTGGAAATAGTTATCCTCTGAACCATATTTGTCAGCACTCAGGATCCGTTCAGGTGTTTGATTTTCATACTGACGGTACCAAAAAAGGTATGGAGTAGAGCTGATAGTTGTGAAGTCACAGGTCAAAGTGGCATTTTCTCCTTCTAGGATTTCCACGTGGTTTTGTTTTTGAGACACTGAATCGCTTTGAGAAGTACCTTAAGAGAAGAAAAAACAAAAATTCAAAACCTCCGAATATCTCCCAAAATTGATTCAGAGTTTGGAATGTATATCTTGGTCTTTGCATCTTCCTTTTCAGAAATATCATGGGAAAAGATTCAGGACAGAGCTTGTTTGTGGAACACTGAGGAAAACAATTTATTTATCCATCACATCTTTTATTTCCCAATTTAAAATAGGAATCTAGGATCTATTTTGTTTTATTTAAAAAAATCAGTTAAATCAGTTAGATCTGTGGAAAAAGAAATGCCAAACAGTTTTCAACCAGATTCCTTTGTGGACCGCATTTGTTAGAATAATCTATGACAAGCAGATCACAAGTTAGAGACAGAAGATAGATCGCAGCTGAAATCAATATTCCATAGACATGTTTTGCCCTTTCAAGAGGTAATGAAAGTAAAATTATCAGTCATTACCTCAATTTTTCAGTTTAAACATTTGGGTTTTTTTTCAAAACTCTTGGTATTCCTTCACTTTGTTTAGTGAGTCTGTATTTCTGTTAATAAATTTGAAGGAGAAAGGAAAGGAAGAAAGGAAGAAAGAAAGAAAGAAAGAAAGAAAAAAGAAAGGAAGGAAGGAAGGAAGAAAGAAAAAAGAAAGAAAGAAAAGAAAAAAGAAAAGAAAGGGAAGAAAGAAAGAAGGAAGAAAGAAAGAAAGAAAGAAAGAAAGAAAGAAAGAAAGAAAGAAAGAAAGAAAGAAAGAAGGGATGGAAGGAAGGAAGGAAGGAAGGAAGAAAGAAAGAAAGAAAGAAAGAAAGAAAGAAAGAAAAGAAAGAAAGAAAAAAGAAAGAAAGAAGAGGAGGAGGAGAGGAAGAGAAGGAAAGGAAAGTTTTTCAGTAATAAAATATTACCTGGTTTCAGGAGGAATAAGAAAAATCCCAAACTTCCCTAAACCATGAATTTGTATTTCTGTTAATAAATTCAGAGGAGGAGGACAAGGAGAAAGAGAAGGAGGGGAACGAAAGGAGGAGGGAGGAGGAGGAGGAGGAAGGAGGAGAGGAGGAGGAGGAGGAGGAGGAGAGCATTTCAGTAAAAAAAAATATTACCTGATTTTAGGAGTAATGAGAAAATTCCCACAAAAATTAAGTAGCGGTTTGGCTGAGAATGAAAAGGCATCTTTGGGATTCTGAAGCAAACCGGCATCCTCCTTTGCTTCCTACACTTAGAACAAGCTGCAATTGAGAATGGGGTTTCCTTTTTGAGCAAGCCACTGAGTTCATCATACGTGGCCCCACTTGTGGTTTTCAATTTAAGCAGGTGGTTTGAGAAAGGATGGAGAAAGCATGAGGTTCTAAACTGCCTTCTGGAGGACAAATATGTACCGACAGATAAATTGTTTGATTCTTCCTTGCATCCTTTCTAAAACGTCCTAATGGATTTAGGTCAGTAACTCACAAAATGCTTAGCTAAAGTGACTGACAAGAATACGGGGAGTTGTAGTTCCAGTGTATTTGAATACACCAATATGAGAAAGACTGCTTACGCAACATGGTTTGCTTAGAGGGCTTTCTCTAGAGAAAGGAGACTGGAGGTTTGTCACTGGCATGTGGATTATTTACAGGTCCTTCACAAAATCATGTTCCCAGGACATGTCTTGGGATAAAGATAATTACGGGACTGGAGGCTCAAATATATGAAGAACGGTTGCTGGAACTGGGTATGTCTAGTTTAATGAAAAGAAGGACTAGGGCAGACATGATAGCAGTGTTGCAATATCTCAGGGACTGCCACAAAGAAGAGGGAGTCAACCAGAGATGGGTTTCAGCAGATTCTGGAGAACCGGTAGTGGAAATTTCGAGTAGTTCAGAGAACTGGTAGTAAAAATTCTGACTGGCCCCGCCCCCATCTATTCTCTGCCTCCCAAGTCCCAGCTGATCGGGAGGAAATGGGGATTTTTTTTTTTAATTTGATTTATATGCCGCCCTTCTCCGAAGACTCAGGGCGGCTTACAATGTGCTCAGCAATAGCCTTCATCCTTTTGTATATTTATACAAAGTCAGTTTATTGCCCCCACAACTGGGTCCTCATTTCACCTACCTTAGAAAGGATGGAAGGCTGAGTCAACCTTGAGCAATTTTGCAGCATCCTTCCCCTGGAGTGGGGTGGGAATGGAGATTTTACAGTATCCTTCCCCTGGATTGGGAGAAAATGGAGATTTTACAGTATCCTTCCCCTTGCCACGCCCACTAAGCCACGCCCGCCAAGCCATGCCACACCCACCAAGCCATACCCACAGAACTGGTAGTAAAAAACTTTGAAACCCACCACTGGAGTCAACCTACTCTCAAAAGCACCTGAGGGCAGGACAAGAAGCAATGGGTGGAAACTAATCAAGGAGAGAAGCAACTTAGAACTAAGGAGAAATTTCCTGACAGGAACAATGATTATTCAGAGGAACAACTTGCGTCCGGAAGTTGTGGGTGCTCCAATATTGGAGATTTTTAAGAAAAGATTGGACAACCATTTGTCTGAATTGGTATAGAGTTTCCTGCTTGAGCAGAGGGTTGGACTAGAAGACCTCCAAGGGGCCTTCAAACTCTGTTATTCTGATTTTTCTGTTAGAACTGAGGATACACTATATTTTCACGAGGGGACATGACGGCTCAAAAATTAAACATGCTGAGCCCTTTAGCTATTGGACTGAAACATCTTCAAAGAAAAACCAGTAAGTCCAGTTGCCTCTTGAAAAAGCATCTTTGGGATAAGATGATTGAAGGCCTGAATGCTAAATCATATAAAGAACGATTCCTGGAACTGGGTATGTCTATTTTAATGAAAAGAAGGACTAGGAGATGACATGATAGCAGTCTTCCAATATCTCAGGGGCTTCCACAAAGAAGAAGGGAGTCAAGCTATTCTCCAAAGCACCTGAGGGCAGGACAAGAAGCAATGGATGGAAACTAATCAAGGAGAGAAGCAACCTAAAACTAAGGAGGAATTTCCTGACAGAACAATTAATCAGTAGAATGGTTTGCCTTCAAAAATTGTGGGTGCTCCATCACTGGAGTTTTTAGGAAGTAATTGGACAACTATTTGTCTGAAATGTATAGTGTCTCCTGCTTGAGCAGGGTTGGACTAAATGACCTCCAATGGTCCCTTCAACTTTGTTATTCTGTTATACTGACAGTGTGGGTACTGTTAGAAGACTTGAAGGACCATGTTAGGGTCAGATCAATCTGGAGAAGATTTATTTATGTGGCTGCTAAGAGTTGACACCTGCTTGATGAGACATAACTAATTAATCATTCTAGCCACACAAAAGGGATGCGGTGGCTCAGTGGCTAAGACGCTGAGCTTGTCGATCGAAAGGTCAGCAGTTCAGCGGTTCGAATCCCTTGTGCTGCATAATGGGGTGAGCTCCCATTACTTGTCCCAGGTTCTGCCAACCTAGCAGTTCGAAAGCATGTAAAAAATGCAAGTAGAAAAATAGGGACCACCTTTGGTGGGAAGGTAACAGTGTTCTGTGCGCCTTTGGGGTTTAGTCATGCCGGCCACATGACCACGGAGACATCTTTGGACACCCCTGGCTTCTTCAGCTTTGAAACGGAGATGAGCGCTGCCCCCTAGAGTCGGGAACGACTAGCACATATGTGCAAGGGGAACCTTTACCTTTACCTCATCCACACATACCATGTCTACCTGGAAATGTACCAGTATCAAATGCACGCTTACCTAATGACAAGAACACTGTAATGACTGAAGCCAGAGCAGCAAGCATGGTTCCTTCTAAAGCTCACCAGTTGACATAAACTGATTGGAACCCTTCCTTCCTTGGGAGTTTCACTGAATGCGACAAAAAATATCACAAATTGGTTTTTTGCTGCCCCTGGATAAGCAACAGTAGGACAGAAACAAAAGGAAGAGTAGGAGAAGAATCTAAGCTTACATCTCAAGCCTAAAGATGTTTGAGAGGGAGAATGATCTCACAACTTCCTGATGGGTGAAGGTGGACCAACAATTCACTAGATGATCAGTCTTTTAATTTTTAGCCTTGGTATTGTAGGAAGTTAGCACCCACCCCTTTCCTAGAAGAATTAAATATTCTAGGAAATATTAAAAAGGCAGAATATTATTGTCAGCCTCCACCTTTCTAAAATGCCCTAGCATTTTCAAACATATCGTGACCACAAATACTGAGGGAAACAGTATTTCTGTTTTCAGTATACAGTTCTCCTGGTAGTCCTTTGTAATTGTTGGCTGCCATAAAACAATCAACTCGACCTAAAAAAGAGTCCCAAGTTTCTGTTGCCTGGTTAAAAGGCGCGAAAGTAGACAGGGTAGCCATCTCCTTGATGAGGAAGTGCCCAGGTGTTTGTTGTGCAACGTCTCGTCGCCTCAGTCAGCTATTTGTGACCGCTCTTTTTTTTTTCGTGACTTCGTTTATTCCTGTTGCCTCCTCCTGTATCCCACCCTCATCGCCAATATTCTATTCTTAGAACTGGGTAGGCGAGGAAGGAGGCAAGACAGGGTAACAATTAAACAGGGCTTTATTGCTAACAGTAATTAGCTAATAGTAGACTCGCTCTGTGCTAACAACGTGGGAGCGAGCCAGCTTCTTTTCCTCTGACAGCTCTTATATAGGCAATATGTCAGTTATCGGGCCAATCAGAAAGCATCCCTTTCCCGTGAGGAGAGCTGGAGGAGATTGAGGAACTATTCTGAAATTAACTAAATAGTTGGTGTTTTGGAGGGGATCAAGCTGAGAATTAATCAAATAGAATAAGCTGGAAGATAGTTAAATATTAGAGGGAGATATAGTGGAAAATATATTAGAAATTGGAGTAAATAAAATATGTCTGTGTGAGAAATCTGTGTAATATGTAAACTGGGAGAAAAAAAAAACTAAGGTAAACTGATTTGAGGATAAGGGTCAAAGGATTAAAATTAGACAAAATGTGGTTTTATAAAACATAATAAAAATGGAGTGGTATTGAATTGAAATTAAGAATAAATGGTGATAAAATTGTAAGGTAAGCACTTAACAAGAGGTTAGAATATTGTAAAAATTATTTTGATATGATTTGTATAAGATATAAGGTAAAGAAGAATAAAGATATGTTTAGAATTGTTATGCAGATGTAAAAATGAGTGAAAGTGAATTTGAAATTAATTTTGGAGAGATATAATGGATTTATATAGATGAAAATGTTAAATTTGAGTTAAAATTGGTTTTTTTAAGTTTTGAATTTCTTTTTTATCTTCTTTTCTTTTCTTTTTTGTTTACTTATAAAAGATGTAATGGAAATTGTGAATTGAGCTTGTGAAAGGAATGTAAGCGTGGTAACCATCTATGACCGGATCAAGATTTTTGCTCTTGAAAGTTATGTTTTATGTTTAAATTTGGAAAAAATAAATAAAAAATATTTACAAAAAAAAAAAGAGAGAGAGAATGAGAGAGAGAGAGAGCGCATCCCTTTCCCGCCTTCTTTGTGCCGGCGGTTCAGCCCATCAGGAGTTCTTCTGCCTCCACATGTTGCTGTGGGGAACATAACATCTACAACAACTGTAGCAATCCTGGGCGGTAAGAACAGAGAAAGTGTTTTTCAAACTTGGCAAGTTTAAGATGTGTGGACTTCAACTCCCAGAATTCCCCGGGGTCTTCAAATGACTTATCCCCCTTTACCCACTCATCCCCTTCTTTCTTCTAACATCGCAGTTTCCCCCTGCACTGGATTCACTCCAAATGTTACCGAATCTTGCCTCAATTCTCAAATTCTGGATTTGGATTGGAAAAGGTATTCAAATGTTGTGAGATCTCCAGGAAATGTGTGGTCTCCAGGAGTCAAAAGTGACTTGACAGCATGTAATCAACATCATCCTCTAGAGTTGCCTTATAAGGGGGATCGGGGGGGGGGGTTTCAAAAATTTTAGCAAGGGGTTCTCTGCCTGGTGGCTGGGTGGATGTGGCCATGGTGGGCATGGCCTAGTCAGCCTCCTGCACCATGGCAGGGGGTGGGGCATCTCTGCCCTCCTCGGGTTCCGGAGGCTTTTTTTGAGCCTCCGGGAGGCCGTTTTCGGCCTCCCCAGACTCCGGAGGCCCTCTGGAGGCTGGAAACAGGTCTGTTTCTGGCCTTCCTGAACCTCCGGTAGGCCCGTTTTTCGCCCTCCCCAACCATTTGCCCATGCCCTGCACTTACCTGCATCCAAAATGAGCCACATGGGGACTCCTGAGAGGGGTGGGGCCAGCCAAGGGTGGGATTTGGGGATTCTCCAAACTGCACAGAATCTTAGCTAGAAGTGGTCCCGAACCCCTGCGAACCTCCATCAGCCCACCCTTGAGGGAGATGGACGGCATGAAAATTAATCAGTTAATTAAATCCTGAATTCTTCTATAATCACCATTCACTAGAGAGTAACATTTAAATATCACAAGCTTGTGGATTCCTGCTTTCATGTGAATCCGTAATGAAAAAGTTCTATTAAACTTTCTCACGTAACATAATAACAGAGTAATGTTGGAGCATTCACAACTTCTGGAGGCAAGTTGGTCCACTGGTTAATTGTTCTAGCTGTCGGGAAATTTCTCCTTAGTTCTAAGTTTCTTCTCTCCTTGATTAGTTTCCACCCATTGCTTCTTGTCCTGCCCTCAGGTGCTTTGGAGAATAGCTTAACTCCCTCTTCTTTTGGCAGCCCCTGAGATATTGGAACACTGCTATCATGTCCCACCTAGTTCTTCTTTTCATTAAACTAAAGGTAAAAGTTCCCCTCGCACATATGTGCTAGTCATTCCCAATTCTAGGGGGTGGTGCTCATCTCTGTTTCTAAGCTGAAGAGCCAGCGCTGTCCAAAGAAGTCTCCATGGTCATGTGGCTGGCATGACTAAATGGCAAAGGCACACGGAACGCTGTTACCTTCCCACCAAAGGTGGTCCCTATTTTTTCTACTTGCATTTTTTTACGTGCTTTCGACCTGCTAGGTTGGCAGAAGCTGGAACAAGTAATGGGAGCTCACCCCATTACACGGCACTAGGGATTCGAACTGCTGAACTGCCGACCTTTCCTTCGACAAGCTCATCGTCTTAGCCACTGAACCACCACGTCCTTTTAAACTATTAAATCATTCAACTATTAAATTTAATAATTTATTATTTTTTTTAATAAATTAATAAATTATTTTAAAAATTAAATAATGATTTGAACTATTAAATCATTAAACTAGATATACCCAGTTCCTGCAACCGATCTTCATATGTTTTAGCCTC